CAAAGGCACATGCCAGTATAGACGCTCTCTTGCACAAATACTTTTAATGGAAAAACTTTTCTGTTAAAAATATTTGCGCAAAATCATGCCAGTCTAGATGCAGCCCTTGTTTCAGTTTAATCCAAACCTTTTGCTATAACATACATTCATTATAACTAACTTATTACTTACACAATTACAAGGCTGCACTGAGGGGAATCTCTCATGTTGGTGTTCTGGTGCTGATGCTCCAGGTACAGCTCTTCAGATTTTCAGGAATGTAGCCTTTGACACTCTCACATGCTGATACTACTGCCAGTCAGTCCAGTTTTGATTCACTACTGTCACGCTGCCCCTACCACTAGCAAAGGTGGCAAGTTGTATAGGCCCTTGGTGCTTGGGCTCCAGGAATATTCCAGGTCCAGCTCTCCCAATGTTCAAGGATGGGTCTATACTCCCAGTCCTGTGTGCTGTCCTCAGTTCCTCTTCCCACCCCTCTTGCTGGCCAGGGCTTCTCTCTGCCTCTGTCTGCTGGCTCCTCCCACCCCCGGCTTGCTGCTTTCAGCTGACATCCAGTTGAGGGTTTCTCTCTGCCTCCATCACTAGCAGGCACTGAGTCATTACTGGAGCTGGGAGCAGAGAGGAGCCCTCAGCCACTGCTGCTCAGGGCCAGCCCAGCGACCATCCACTTTAGGCTCCTGAGGGTGGAGCCCACTTCCCTCTGCTGCTCTGCAGAAGTGGTGGGCTGGCTGGGGAAGTTGGATGTTCATGCTCATGTACAAAAATGCCTCTCTACCATTGGCAGCTTCTTGCAATGCTGCCCCTAGCACTGTACTGGGGGTGGGATCCCTGGTCTGTGCTGGCTCAAGAGTCTGGGGGCAAGGCCTGGGGGCATGAGTCTGTGTGAGGGGAATGCTGGAATCTGAAGGGTGGGAGGCAGTGGGGGAGGTTTGTATATCTTGGGGTACAAGGTAGTGGAGGGTCTTTGTGAGGTGCTTTGTGGAGAATGGACAGTGGGGATGGGGTAGGCTTGCCAGATGTCTGGTTTCGAACTGGACAGTCCAGTATTTGAGCTTTCTGTCCAGGAAACTAATTGAGAAAATACCGGGCATAGATGTTTGGTATTTTCTAATTTACTCATGAAAATAATAAAAGCTTATCAGTACCCAACTATGCAGTTGAGAGGGGTGGGGTAGGCGGGGGCAGGATGGAATCTCTGGGGCCAGACTTGCCCATGTGCCCTGCTGGGACCATGTGCGGAACAGGTAGCACTCCGGG